TGTTGACATTGAAAAACAATTTGATTAAAATGTTGGTTACTACCATACTTTATTTTTATCACCGCAATCTATTTTATATTTTAATCAATCAACAAATTGTTCTATGATAATTATTTATTAAAAATTAAAATAATCTTTCTTCGTTTATTCTTTATTGATTACATATTGAGTTATATCCATTAAACAAACAAGAAAGATATTGTACAAAATTTTTTGATTAAACTTTAAACAAGCCTTGATAGATACAATAAGGATTATATATATTAGATAAGTAACATAAAGTTTTTCTCTTTATTATAATATTACACAAGACAATTAATAGCTAGTGAACTTTGTTTTCATTTGTATACTTATATTTTACCAATCACCATTACCAAAATCACCTCCTAACAGACAAGAAAAAAACCGGTCGATCATCAAGAAAAAAAGAGTTATCTACCTCCAAAATCGCCTCCACCATCACCAAAGTCTAAAAAATATCAATATAAACTTAAACAATATGTACTAATATAATCAGCCTTACCATCATCACCGTAATCATCGCCACCACTACCGTAACCATATCCGCTGCCACTGTAATCATCGCCACCGCCACCGTAGCCATCGCTGCCGCCACCGCCGTAATCACCGCCACCTCCACCATAATCAACGCCACCACCGCCGTAATCATCACCATTACCACTGTAATTGTCACCGCCACCGCTGTAACCACCACCATTACCACCGTAATTGTCATTGCCGCCGCTGTTATCAGCGCCACCACCACCGTAATCATAGCCATCACCACCGTGATTGTCGTCATCACGATCGCCAAAGTGATCATCACCACCACCAAAATCTGGTCAATATTCATAAAAAACAAAACTAATATACTTCGTACAGTGATTCTTACCTCCATTGTCACCATTATTTTCTGACTGTTGATTATTATTTGTCTCATATTGAAAATTGTTTTGTTGATTATCATTGTCATTATAGTTATTTGTTTCGTTATACGTTGAAAAATTATTGTTCGTTGTACTATTATTATAATTATTTGTTGTATCATTATCATAGCTAAAAAGGTCCAAGTTTTTCTTTTCAATATACATGAAAAACAAGATTTACACACTAGTTATTGATGACAGTACTATCATTGTCACCAAAACCCCATCCACTAGAATAAAAAATTATTCCATACTAAGTTTTTCTGAGGATTCAATATATTCTCTTGTTTTATTTTGTCTCAAAATACAATAGCTTATTTTCAATATATCTGATCGTATCATAATAAAAGGTTATTTTTCAACTTACCCATATCCACCACTATGATACCCAATAGGGCCCATGCCATATCCCCATCCACCATGTCCACCAAAACCACCTCCCCATGCATAACCAAGAGCACCTAATAGCGACAAATTTCAATATTCTTTCGTTATATAGCTTTGAAGACTTTACCACCAAGTAATGCTCCACCAGCAAAGCCGACTCCTGCACTAACTAGTGAACTTCCAGTGCCACCTCGATTAATGCTACTATATCCTTCACCAGCATAAGAAGGCGATGGTTGTACAACGACGTTTGTATAGTGATAAGTTGGTTGTTGATTGTTATGCATTTTGGGGTATATTGGCTGTTGTTGGTGTTGTCGAGGATTTGGAGTTGACCTTGGATAAGCTAAAAGAGATATTTAAATTAATATTTGTTTGATAAAATAATGAATGTACATGGTAGAGCATGAGATGATGGATGAGCAGACTGTCGAATAGCAGCATTTTGTTGTGGATGCGGTGGTGCTGAAGATCGCTGAGGTGGAGGAGGTAGCTATATAAAAAAAGGATTATTTATATATATATATATATATTAAATTGAGCAGAATGAACTCACTGTAGAAACAATTGCTGCCATCCATTCACTAAATAATTAAAAAAAAATCAATGAAGATTAAATTACTTTATGATTTTTCTTACTTTAAATGTGTTACATCATTACAAAGAATCCATATTATTTCTTGATCATGATGTCTAGATGATGATCTTGGTAAAGCAATAAGATTCGCTTCGTCCGTTGGTCGAGGCAGTTCTGGTCGATTAGGTAAACATCGTGTATATGGGCCAACACAAAGATTTTGAGCTATATCACGAATACGTATTGATCCATCTGGTTTTCGATCATTTTGTTTTTCATACCATTGTAATGTTGAATCATCAAACAATACAAAATAATAATTTTTCCATTTTTTCGATAATAAACCTTCTACAATAGAGATATTTTAAAAATTTTGAGCAAATTATTCACACTAATCAGAAAAAACATACGTACTATAAAAATACTGAAGATAACCTGTTTTAATATGCTGAGACATATTGTTGTTGTTTTAGAAACTATTTTTCTGAATATATATAAATGGCTTTGTTGTTATCTAACTGCACATTAGAATCAAATGGTTATTGACTTAAGCAAAAACTATTCATCTAGGAGAATAATTTTGCTCACGTCAAATACTTTTCTTTTCTCTACTATTCTGATGGAAGAATACGTACATTCGATTAGAAGCGTTGCTTAGATGTTGAGCAAAATTGAAGGATGTCAACTTTCTTTTTCTTTTCTGTTCCTCTCATGTTTTTTCCTATTCTTGTTATTAATACTAAAAAAAAAGAAACCAAACATTGACTTTCTTACATTTTGATTTTTTTTCGATTAGTTAGTAATGAGTTCTTTGTCAAACACGAAGAAAAGACATGAATAGATGTTGATGAAAATATATATATATATGGATAATTTTATTCGTTAGCAACATGATTTTGCTAATGAAAATGTTTCGTATCTTTAGATTTGGGAATTTCTTTTGACTAATTTTGATATACAAGATGCATGTCGAGTAATTCTAGATATCCTGAAAAAGTCAGTTCTATAGAACTTGACTCTAAAATTATTATTGAAAAGTGAGCATTATGGATTGGACATTAAAAAGGAAAAATGTTTCCATTGTGTAAAGTTATATTTACGAATCTTGCAAGTTCAAACAATATTTTTGAAAACTAAATAGTACATTTTATAATGGATTCATCAGTCTACAAAATCTCTGTACAATCCTTTTGTAACTGAGCAACAAGTCCAAAAGCCGAATCCAAATAGTACAAATCCTTCTTAGGGATCACGAGATGATTACAAAACAAAAAATCTGATTCTGAGACGAGATAACATATGTGGAAAATCGGCTTTTGAGAGACAATTTTAGGGAGTCAGATCTTGTCGAAAAATTCAACATACGTATAGTTTATTGCGTGGAGACTATTTTGAAATTCTTGAACTTTTCCATCATAAAATTAGAGAATTAGTTGCTAATTACCTTCTAATTAATTAACTAGTTAAGTCCAACTTGTATGAGCTAGTAGAGCTAATATTTATATATATTTATATATCTCTCTAGAAAAAAAATTAGTTCAACGCGATATTTTTATCATATCACTACTATATATCAATATTTTGGGAAGAGTTATTATATATTCTGATAGCGCGTGGAATTTTCTACAATACTATGTAGGCGTGTTTTTTTGTATTTTGCTTGTTCGGTAAAATAGATATTCAAGTACAATGAAGGTACCCTCATTAACCGGTTCTCCAGAAATGCATTTTGTTTGTTTCTTTTACATCCATTGTTTTCAAATTTTGTTTATACAGGATGCAAGGCTTTTTTTTGAAAGTCAATTATATATTTTGAAAGCGCATGAAAATCGATATCATTCCGTAACTTTGTCTAGTCTTTGACTTTCAATTTTATGATGACAAATATTTCGAATATTATTAAACTACTCTTACTCTAACACTTTTATCCTCAACTATTCGACTTAATTCATACAGCAGAGTATGAATGGTTATCTAGTAATCGAATAAGATGTATGAATAACCATTCACCTGTTAGCCCTGATTTAAATATTATTCAGATCATTTTGATATTCGATTAACCAGTATGCATAAAGATATCGCCCAAATTATCAACAATACTTTACCTTGAAATATGATACTTGAGTACCTTAACAATGTTCGAAATATTTGTAATCAAATATTTGAAAGTCAAATACTGGCAAAAGCACAGTATGATAGAGAAAATTTCACGCACTTTCAGAATATATGCTTACTTCTGTAATCATTTCTTCTTATGTTAAAATAAATATGAAAAAAAACAAATGAAACAGAAACGAAAAATACATTTTCGAAGAATCTCACAATGAGAATATCGTCACTGTACTTGAATTCCTATTTTTATCGAGTAAGTGTAATTCAAAACGTATACATACATAAAGTTGTAGAGAATTTTGCACGCTATCAAAGTATATAATTACTTTTGTAAGAATAATAATTTATAGCAATGATATAATATAAATATTAAATCTAATTATTTTTTTTCAAAAAGATACATATTTATAAGAAAAGAACTTGTTCAAATAATAACCTTGCTAAAGAATTTAAGTCAAATCGAAGATTGTCATATCCCATTTTTCACTGATTTTGCCTATACATAAATATTATAATTTTTTTTTTCTTCATCTTTTGTATTCGTATAAAAGAAAATAATAAATGACATTTGTAAAGTGCTGAACTACAGAAAAAAAATTTATTTCAACACATTTTTGTTATTGTATAGTTCCCATGTAAGATAAAGAAGATTCACACAATGTATAGATCACAGTATTTTATAAATGGTAGCATTAATAAAGAAAACATTTTACTTTTTAATTCAATCGTAAATTATTCAATTTCGTTTGTAATTATATGAGAGATGTATATATAGATCAAAGCACACCAGTCCACATATTCATATACATATATATTGATATCTTATTCGAGTAAAAAAAAACAGACACAAAGAAAAATTTATCAAAGAGTGCCACTGATGTATAAGCGAATTTAAAAGAAAATCAAACAAACAAAAAAATACACAAAATCTCTCTTTCATTCATTTCACTGTGGAAAAAAAACCAAGAAAACAAACTGAAAATAATTTTCAAAACATATTATTTCAATATTTCATCTCGTCTTAATTTTAAACAAGCAAGAACCACTTGACATTGATACATTGAACCTTGTAATTCTGATGACATTTGATCAACATCTGTTTGTATTGTTGAACTAGTAGTATTATTTGTAATAGCATTTAAACGTTGATTACTACCTGAATAATTTGTTGTTGTTAATAATTTTGATGGTCTCATTAATGTTGGTCCAAAAACAACAGCTAAATTATCTAAATGCATCATATTTATATTTGAATATTGACTAACACGTATTAAATGATCAAATAAATACAATAAAATTTGTCGGTTATTTGAATTTAATGATTCAAATGTTTTTAATAGTGTAACACGTTGATTATCAATATCAGTTAACTGTATAGCATGTAAAAATTGTTTATATAATGCACTACTAAATAATGGTTCAGGCAATTCACGAAAAAATAATTTTAATAAATTAGCTGCAACATGTACATTTTTTTGAAGTAACATTTCTTCACCATGACGATAATTTCGATCAAATTCATTACGAAGTTTTTGTAATTCTGATGCAACACAACAAACACGATATATACCTGTTTCATTTAAACCATCATGTTCAACCATTTCAATACATTTTACAATTATACGTGGAATACCGTTAATACTAAAACAGAAAACAAGTTTTGCTTTTTTTCCATAAGAAAAAAAAATTATATATATATAAACATACTGTCCATTTGGCATACTTAATAATTTTTCAATACTTTTTCCAAATATAGCAAGACTACGTTTTGATGGTCGACGTCTAAATGTTCCTTCACGTTTTGAATAGTTTAATGAAAATCTTAATTTTAAATCTCCAGATGGTGATTCAATACGTGTCACTTCATTTGGATTATTGTGACATTCATGTAATGCAGTTTCAATCTTAATTTAAAGAATTTGATTTTTTTATAAGAAGAAATTTTTTAACTTACATCTCGATGAAATTTACCAATACATATTTCTTTTTGTGAACTGTTACGAATATCTGTTGTTGAGGCATCAATACGATAGATAAGGAAACGAAAGGCAAGTGAATATTCTAGCTCTATTTGAAATACCTAAAAGAATATTTGAAAATACAATTTAAAAATTCAAAGTGTTTTTGAATAAAAATCAAAGAATATCTTGAAAAACATATGGTAATGGAATAATTTCTTGTCATACAACACTCAATATCCGTTTTAGAAAAATTTGGTAGAACTAAATAATTTGGTTTTTCTTTGTAATCATAATTCTTTATTTATTGGAGAAATATTTCAATTTATATGATAAATAGTAGTTGGGCATACTTTGTGATCAAAGTATTGATCTAACAGGAATCGAGAAAACTTTTGTCTTGTGCTTATATAATAATTCAGGTCTTTTTTTACTTTGTTTTTGACTTATGCTCATGTTATCGAGTTTCTGACTTCGTGTAGACTATTGTAAAACCTCTCTAAGTGAGAACCTCATCATATTGGATATTGAGTTCTTATTTCTGGTTTCATGAATAACAGCAATTTCTGTAACGTAAGGAACATATGGTCTGTCATTCACGTTCAGAAGGCTAAAAAGAAATGATATTATAATAAACAACTATGGGATACGTAGGAAAAGGGAATAGACTAGCTGTAGACATTTAAAAGAAAAAACAATATTACATAATAGCGAAAGTTTTTGATGTTGTAACATCTTCTCATTTTGATGTTAATATCTAGTAACATCAAATCATGTCAATACGTGTTGATTTATTCTGGACTAAAAAAGTTGAATTACTTGATTGTTGGAAAGATAGAAAAGGTCATCTTTTGCAGCCGAAAAGCGATTGCACCTAAATACTCATAGGGTGGCAAAAAGAAACCAAAAAACTCCCACCAATAATGAGTAAATGTTGTCATTTCGATATTAAATTTTGTCTATCAACAAAACTTAGAAATGCTATCATATACCAAAAGGCCTAGCTCGAACGAATATTGTCTTTCTGGGATGATAGTCTTACTAAAAGACATTGAACCTTTCTGAATCTGTTTGAAAATATGTGCATTCATTAAGAATATGATGTCACAGGAAGAAACCATTCGTTCTAGCTAAAATTTTCGATGTATTATAGGATTCATAAGATCTTTCCATGTGCAGAATTTATGATCCAAATGGCAACATTGAGTTTTTTGTGACATGCCATGTACAAAGTCGAAGATGCAAAAAGAAAGTAACTAGGTCAGGAATCATTTTAGGTTTAGCTTAGTTTCAATAAATTCTAATTAATAAGACAAACTTCATCTTAAAAGGTTTTTTATCGTTTGAAAAGGTTCTCTTGGTAGATCATCATTTTCTTAATGCACACATTAGTAACACTAGCAAATATTTCTCTAAGAGATCTACAGCTGACTAATATATCTGTATAGAACATAATAGAACAATCCGATAATTCTCAAACGAATTCAAAATATGCTTATTAATCACAAGCAAAAGAATCTTATGGAAATAGTCAACATATCTGTTTTCTTCTCAGAACAGAAAAAAAGCATCATTTTCAAATCTTAATATTCTAATCTCTATACGATTTTTACACTTGAATTCAATTTGAACAAACACGACAATATAATATGTCAGTCAGAAATTTGTTATCTATGCTAAACAATCATTGGTTCATTTGAGGTTTTTTCTCACTTGCATAAAATATTTTTCTCAACATGTTATTTCATATACCTCTCCTCTAAATTCAACCAGTTCAGGTTTTTGCATTGTTCGTCTTTCTGTTTTAGCATGTGGATAAAACGTATTATATGAATCAATTTCAACAGCTACATAAAATTGATAATTTTTTTGTAGCTGTTGTTGTACTGACGACATCATTGGTAATGTTTGATATTGTCTTGTTGGATTATATAAAGCTGAACCTTGTATACTATGTATTGTAATACATAATGTACCAGAATATGTTTTACTTGGTGTTATTGTTTGAATATTTGATGTTGATTCATTTGTATTTGATTCATGTAAATTTGGTTTAATTAAATCAAGACGTTTTTGTATAATTGATTCATTTAAACGTGAATGATGATTTGCTTCATTTAATACAGCTGAACTACGTTGAATAAGTTCTTGTTTTGTTCGATCAATTAAATCAACCCAATCTTGTAATTGATAAGCCGATGAAAAAAGTATCGTCGATGATGTAGATATACGAGGATTTGATAAGAGAAGTTGTAGTTTTGATTGAACTAAATTAAATTCATTTTCTTGTTTACGAATATTTTTTGATAAACGAGCTGCTAACATATTCTAAAAAATTAATATATTTTAGTCGAATTCGGTTTGCTTTTTGTTTGAATAAAATTTGTTTTGACTTACATTATTTTTTGTTGTTTTTTCTAATTCTTTATAAACCGATTTAAGATTTGTTTTTAATTCATCTAAATTTATTTGATGAGAATTTTGATGAACACAAATTCTATTCATTTCGAACTTACCACCGGTATCAACAGTATCATCGGAAGGACTTTGAGGCATTGTCCATTGTAAATCAAGCATTGGAATAAACCATAGAAGCATATATTTTGGGCTATAAAAAAGAATCAATTGTTTATTCAAATATTTATCTTCATTAATTTCAAAAAAAAATTTGTCTTTAATACATGTTAGTTATGATCACATAGTTATAGAGGAGATAAAACAGGATCACTTAAGATTTATTAGTCTAGTTTGACTATATCGAATATCATAAGATTCGTTTTACTTTAAAATATAATCAATTTAAAAATTAAACATTTTACATCAGCACAACTTTACATGAAATTAGTACATTAATGTAATCAGAAATTAGAAATTTTTCGAAGAGTCAACTCTAATTCAGAAAAATAATAAAAATTAAATCTTGATTGAATGAACAACCATGTGAATTACTAACAAATAGTGAAAATCGAATCAATATATTCAGGATAGTTTTGAGATATATTTTTATTGAAAATATCAGATGGAATATCATAGATATAAAGTTTTGAGTTTTATTAGTTGATAATATTTAAGCATATACATGCAAATATAACCAGATGAGAATGATAGACGTGTTGTGAGTAGAGACATACAAGATCAAATATTTTCAGCCCTAATCCTGGATTATAGCATGTGATTCAAGAGAGATGATCGACAAAATACTAATCTTTAACCATATAAAAAGACGAATATGGAAGAACTTTTTTTTTTAGATACGATACGAATAAAATCTGAAATAGATTTCTCTAGACTGAGATAAGGAAACTTGATCTCGCACATCTCTAGTCCTGATACCACACATTTCTACTTATGAGCTAGAATGATGAATAATTTTTTACATAACTCATACGATTACCAATATCATAGTTACACTCCTAGTAATATCTTTCAGTAAAATGATGCTTAAAGTATACAAAGTGTATGTTGAAATAAAAAAAAGTTATGGATTCATTCGGTTTCATGATAATATTTAATTTATCTTATATAGGTTTTAATGAAGTTTTTCTTTTCTATTTGAAATAATTCATTGAATTTACCTTGCAAGTATTTTAGCCTTTAGGTTGCAACAAACAATTGCATCAGGATAGAGAATAAGTCGACAACGTTCACGATGTCCTCGTGTTGCCATTGTAACAACATCTTCAGCTTTCAAAATAACCTTATTTATATTTTCATCTTGTCGACTCTAAAAAGAAGATCAAAACATTAAATTGAATATTTCTTTATATTTATATTGAATACATACCCCATATAATTTACATGTTTGGGCATAATTATATAATTTATTTATATCATCCATGTCACCAGTTTCAAATGATTGTGCTGTTTGATATAAATCCTGAAATATAATAATTTAATCGAATTCATTGCAAAGAAAAAAAAACAGAATATTTCAAAGAAAACATACCTGTACTTGAGAAAGTATTTGAAGAAATTGTTTTGGAGGAATCGATAAAAGATCTAATATGTGTACAAATATTTAAAAAGTAGGTCGCAAATTTCGAGACAAAATATTTGACTATTTTTATACGTCTTCAAATGTATTGGTAGTATATTAGAATCAGAATCGTGTGCTATTTCAGATTATATGCTTAGAATTTTTCTGTGGCTTTTGATTACTGAGCTATAAGTGAATCTTGAAAAAATTGAAAAATTTTTTTTTGTTTTTGAAGAGAAAATCTCAATTGGAACTTGTTCTAGATATGTCACTAAATTGTATCGAATATTATTGGAAGATATAAAACAGAGATCGTCGCAGAGCACTTTTTTCACCCTACTCTGCCCTCACGATCGGACAAAGCTGAGCGTCCTCAAAGCATATAAACAGAAGTTGACTATGAAATGAGTTGGTAACCTAACGAAAAAATTTTGATCGTATTTATATGCAAGCATGGGTGCATGACACTAGTACTATATTCATAAAAAAACAGCAAAATATGTCGTTAATGAACATAGGAAATCTTTTTAACTGAGTATATTCATTTAGTTGAGTCGAAGTCTTTCATTAACATATAGATGCAAGTCAAGATTTATTTTTTTATTGTGTGTTAGACATGTTTATAATTTGAGACGATATGTTGAATCTCTTCAAAATTGAAAGAGTTCGTCTTGAGCAATGATGAATTCGAATTCATATTACATTCATAAGTATTAATGAAATCGCTTGACAACAAGAAAATCATCACTAGCTAGTAAAGCTACATCGACGACACATTATTTAAAAGTTTCGTATTTGCATTTTGTAAACTATTTAAAATGACTTGTCATGAGAAAACGTTGACAGGACAAGCTATTTTGTGTTATCATTATGATGGTCTTTGTAGACAGAAAACAATTTTCTACAATATGGTATAGTTGAATAAAATCTTTTGAAAATGGTTGGGCTGCAATAAAGCCTTTTTCTAAACTCTATCGCAAGAAAAATCACTATTTTTCTGATTTTGGCTAGAGTGATCTTTTATCACAACTATGCAATGTTTTAGCAGGTTAACTTAAACTCTCCATTCTTGTACTATTTCATAGAATAACGATCATTTACAAGTACTATCTATTTACAGAACTTATTAGAAGCAGATTTATCTTCAGAAAAATAAAATATTTCCTTGTCCAGAAAATTTTTGTTGAATTCTGTCAAAATTTGCTTATTGCTCAATAGTCAAAAGTCATAGAAAATTTTAAAATTTATATTATGAAAGAGCACGAAATTCTGATGCTTATACATTATTTCGCACTCTTTTTTTTCAATGTTTTTCAATCAACAAAAAATTGTCAAATATTTTATCTAAAACAAAAAAAAAAGATTTTTTTCAATGAACAAACCTTCACTAGATAAGCCACTTGTATTTATTCGTTTTTCAAGCGATTTTCTAATTGGTACTAAATTCGTTTTGATATAATCAGTATATATTGGAAGTGTTTCCATCTATAAATATCAAAATAATTGAAATAAAAATAAAAACAAAAACAAAAAGAATTTTACTAATGTTTCAACAGCATGTGTTAAATATTTTGTTAAAGTTGCTGGTTGACGATCACGATCAAAGGAATCTTCAATTTCTCGATAAACTTTGTCATGTTGATCAATTAATTTTTGAATATAACCTTGAAAAGAAATTGGAATTGATATTTGATTTAACTAGAAGATAGTGAATAAAAAAATATTATTTGAAAGAAAAATTAATACGACGAAAAATATTTTACTTGTTCTGCCATTTTTTTTAACTCATCACAATAACATTCTTCTTTTCTTGACCATTCGTGTACAATACCCCAGAGAACTTGTTGTTGTCGTAACTAAATTAAAATGAAAAAATTAAGTTAATTTTTTTGTTTGCATTGAAATATTATTTTACAATTAATTGATTTTGTTGTTCTTCTTCATAATCATTTATTGAATCTTTATGTGTTAATTGTTCATCATCTTCATGTGATGAATTATCAAAATCACTATCATATTCTTCAATAACTACATCTTGTGTTGAAGAATTCATTCGTAATGGATAATCGTTTAAAATTTCTTGAGTATTTTGATCATCATTTCGTTTATCACTATTTCCTGTTGATGATATTGTATGAATACCACCTATAAAAAAATAAAGAAATGAATAAATGTAAATTTTTTAGAGCAACAATCTTATCAATTGAAAAAAGTAGTGAAAATGAAAATGTGTCGAATAATTTATCTCATCTTTTTCTTTGTTAAAAATTATAGTTCGAAATGGAATAAACTGTACGTGCATTTAAAATAAAACAAAAGAAACATTATCTATAAGTATACTTATTCGAATCGATAACAAGGCTATTTGAGATCATTATTATTACCGACTGATTGTATTGAACTTCATGTACGTTAAGCTCATCTCGTTCGACTATCAACATGATAATTTTAGTCCTTTTTTTTATTTTATGCGCACGCGTATACATGTAGTTCATTTTATGGGTTCATTGTTGTCTTCAATTTTCTCTATCTCTCTTACTTTGAGCAACCCAAAAAAAAGACATGAGAAATAAAAAGAAAAAAAAAAAGAAAAGTGACAATAATCCGATCATTTCCTCACTCTATTTTTCATTCTAAATGAATAGATTCATTCGGGCAAAAAAAAACAGAATGACCTTGACCGACATAAAGAAAGTGCTCGTTTGCAGATCATTGTTGATTGATCTTATTAAGTTAAAAGGACTTGAAAACTAAAAGTAAAACTTTTCTTTGATTCAAACCTTGGAAATATGCCAATGATTAATTTCTCGTTTGTTTGCTAGTAGACCTTCTATTTGCATTGACACAATGAAAATGGTTGAAAAAAAAAAAGTCTTTTTCTTCTGTTCAAGCGCATCTGTTCACATCAGCACCGAGACATATATCCGTTACGTTAACATCCAAGGTCAATCTTTTCGAAGATAGCTTTATATGATTAATGAAATTCGACATACCTACTATTCTTAAGACACAATATATATAAGAGAAAAAGTCTTGATAGATTCATAAATATTTGATTCATACGAACATACACAGAAAAAAGAAAAGATAAAAGAATCATATACTTAATATAAGAAAAGAACATCATAAACAAAAGCAATATATTTTCCATTTAATAATCAAACTGTAGGAAACTAATATAGTTTTGATGAGAAAAAAAAAGAAACTAAAGTTAGTTTATACTCAATAAATCTTGTCAAAATAATTGATGTCGATCGGAATAGTAAATCGAAATGATTAAAAAAAACAAACTTACTATCATTTTGATGACTATGAATACCTGTTGTTGTATCAAAATCATTTGTATTAACACTATTATCTTCATCTTCGTCATCAAAACTTTCATTATGATATTCTTGTTCATCATCATTTTGTTGATGAATAACATCATCATCATCATCATGTGTTGGTGAATAATTTGAAACATTTTCAATCATAGTAGAGTTAGTCGTATTACTTGATGATATATTTTCATTTGTGATTTTTTCCGATTCTTCTATGTTAGGATCTTCATATAATGGAAAATCAGTTTCCTGTAATTTTGATGAACTTGTCGAAGGTGGTGGTAGATCTTTAATATAATTCGATTCAGGTCGAGGATGAATACTAATTAATTGAACATTATTATCCTTTGAATGTGCATAAGTTTCTGTTGATGATAAAGGTGGTCTAACATTCATTTGTAATGGTGTATATTGATAAGGAAGATGTGTAACAGGCGATGTTGAACTCGGTGGCATTGGTATTGGATGAGCTGATTTAAGTGATGTTAAATGCTTAGGAATATCAGAAATAGTTGAACTGGATTGTTTATCACGATCATTTGCATGCAATTGTGCTTGACGATCAAATAATGAATGACCACGTGATTTAGGTAATGGTGGTTCACTAGGTGGGGTAGCCATTTGGTCTATAAGAAGAAAAATAAATATTAGACATATTGCTTTAGTTTCTCTTTTTTCTTTTTTATGATGAAGTTGATCAAATGATATGTTCTTTATTTTCTTTTGCTACTTGTATATTGACTGATGTTTGTCATATAAGAAGAAAAAAAAAACGCATGCGAACGCATATATATGCATCCGATTTGTTTTCTTAAAAACCGAACAAAAATATGTAGGAGAAAATTATATATTCGCAATACACTTATATAGGAATGAATTCAAAAATATAATCGTACGAAAATTGAAGAAAAAAAGATTATCAATAATGCAAAAAAAACAGAAACAGATTCGACGAAGAAAAATGTTGATGACGATGAATGTATGAAAGAAAGAATCATGCAGGTGTTTGTTGATGGATGCATTAAGAGACGACGTGACATGATGTGTGTTCGCCTCGTTTTTTTTTCTTTTTCTGAGTAAAAAAACAACATAGAAAGAGAAGAGAAAAAAAACTACTCAGCGTATAATCAGATATTTTTTTTACATCTTTGCATAGTTTTCAAATACAGAATAACGAAAAAGACTCAATGGATACTTACAATTGGTTTTGATCTGATGTTTATAATGATACATTGTTTTACTTTTTTTACACTTCAATCGAATGACCAACTAAATAGTCAACTAAATGGTTAGATAGTTGATCATCATCTATTGGTCTTTAATCAAGCAAAAAACGACAAGGTACGTGTACTTGTAGATGACTTAGTGAACACAACAGAAAAAAAAATAAGATGCAAGAGAAAGAAAAAAAAGAAGAATTGGTGATTGTTCCCGCTTGGTGCTCCCTTTTACCGCCCTTATTCTCTTTCTTTGTACTATTGTACACACGCCCATAAGCGGATCATGTTCGTTTGTTCATTCATTCTGCATATCATATTGTTGTTTTATATGCATAGATATGTGTATGTATATAAAGGTATGATTGTATAACCCTAGCAGCGTCATCGTCACCATCGCTATTCTTTCAATGTTCAATTGAAATGTCAGACAGTGCCAAAAAAAAAACGCACTACTCAACACACGTACATACATACAAATGACGATAAGGAGAGAAAAAGATCAGACGTCGGATATATTATTTATTGTCGAAGAAGTAATAGTGATCGATCATGTCAAACGGAAAGGCGCAAAAGATTAGAGGTTCAATAGTAATAGTATTGTATGCAATCACTCCAACAGTACAGATAGAGATAATGAAAAAGGAGAAAAAGAAGAAGAAGAAAAAAAAATTTATGACGGAGAGTCGTTAAAATTTTCGAGAGAAGAACAGACAAAAAAAAGAAATATCTCAATAAAGATTAGAGAAAAAACAGATGTCTTATACGTTGACATTCATAGATGTTATAAAAAAAGCCAGAAGTGTGAATTAATTTTTATTCATATTAAATCTCCTTATTCATCGTAAACAAGAAATCTAACATAAAATCAACAATGAAAAAAATACAGAGAAAAGAAATGATCTTAATAAATAAAAAGATACTAGCAGTGATGTTGTGTTGTGTTCTGTTTGTCGACATAACTTATTTTACTTAACTACAACCATATCTCTGACTCATCATAGGATAGTTGTCTGAATCATTCTTTTTACATATATTTTATTAGTTCTTTTCATTCGTTTACTTCTCTCAAATGAACAATAGTTAACATAACTTTATAGAGGAAATGGCATAGAAATTTAATAGTATATGGTACATTTTAAAATGTACTATAAAAATCGAATGAAATTTTAATAGAAGTAATAGATAGATATTTATTTTTCTCAAATGTTGGTACCTGTTTTTTCTTTACAATTGAATAATAAAGTATTTCCGCGAACATTTTCAGTTGGAAAATTTAATGGTAAACAATCTTGTCTTGTTGGTGCTACTGCCGGAAATAAAGTATAAAAGTATTATTGAAAATAACAATAAGCAATTTAAATTATATTCATAGGTTTTTATTCATTCTCCACGTGACACCAATCCTCAATCACAACAATTAGATGGAAACATTTCACTTGTTAATGTTAATCAAGTAATAACAAGTTTAGCATGTGGACAACTTGATGAACAATTAGAAAAAGATTTACTTGTTGTTGGAACAAATACAAATATAATTGCTTATGATATTGATCGAAATGTTGATTTATTTTTTCAAGAAGTTTGCTTCAAACTTTATTTTCTTGTTTCTTTTTTTGTTTTAATTCGTTTTTTGGTAGATTCAAGATGGTGCACATGCAATCACTATTGGCAAATGGGGTGAATTACCTGAACAATTAGCTATTGTAGGTGGTAATTGTTCTATACATGGTTTTAATAAAAGAAGCGAAGATGTTTTATGGACAGTAACAGGTGATAATGTATCATCACTTGCTTTATTAGATTTTAATAGTGATGGGTATAATGAAGTAGGATATTTTTATATTAGAAATTAATGTCTTATTTTTATTCATGAAAATTTTTTCTTTAGCTTGTTGTTGGCTCAGAAGATTATGATATTCGCGTATTTCGTGAAGATCAATTAATAGCTGAAATGCAAGAATCAGAAATTGTTGTTTCAATATGTCCATTAATTAATGCAAGATTTGCATATGCATTATCTAATGGAACTGTTGGAACCTATGAACGATCAAATCGAAACTGGCGTATTAAATCAAGAAATATTGCGATTGTTTTACAAACATTTGATGTTGATGGCGATGGTGTTGATGAATTAGTAACTGGATGGAGTAATGGAAAGGTAACTTTGAAGTTTGATTTTTATTTGTACAAAATAAAAATAAAACTAAAATTTACTTGATTAGGTTGATATACGAAGTGATCGTACTGGTGAAGTAATTTTTAAAGATAGTCTTAATTCATCAATTGCTGGTGTTGTTAAAGTAAGAGAATAATAAGATAGATTTGAGAAAATGAAATTTACTTAGGCTGATTATCGAGTACCAGGAGAGAATTTATTGATTTGTTGTACGAATGAAGGTGAAGTTCGTGGTTACAAATTTTCGGTGCAAGATGCACATGTAGCTGCTGCTAATGCATATAAAAATAGTCAAGAAGCAGTTCGAGATTTATCTCAAAAGAAACAAGTATGACGAATTAATTATTGATGAATGAGTTTGAATTTTAATTATAGACATTACTTCTTGAACTTCAAAATCTTGAATATGTAACCAAGAACATCACAGATATAAATAATAAAACAGTAGCAGTTGATGCTACAGCTGATATTCAGGTTAGCAAGACAAACAAATAAATGAATGATTGAGAATAGTTTTGATTATTTAATAGGCTAATACTGAAATCCAAACAATGCTTACTGTAGAAAAAGGTGGAAATGATTTTCCTGTAGGTGAAAAATATCTCTTTTTCTTTAATTTGAAAAATCTTTTAACATTCTTCTTTTTATTTCTAGGGACATGTTGCAGTTCGAATGAAAACATCAAATCGTAGGATTAAAAATACATACTATTTTTTCTCTAATAGAAATTCTTCTTTTCAGAAACTCTTATACGAGCAGTAATTATGTTCGCTGAAGGATTATTTAGAGGAGAATCTTTTGTTGCGTATGTCATGGTTTTAACATGTTCTTTAATTAATCTATGTTCAATTTAGTCATCCAGCAGCAAATCAAGTCCGAGAATATATAACTGTACCTATAATTATACCTCGAGATGTTTCTATTGATTTACATTTACAAATCTTTGTTGGAATGAAAACAAGGTATTATACACTGGATCTAAAAATTGTTTACTCAAGCTATTCTTCGATTTTATTTCATTGCTATAACTACTAATAAGAATTCAAATAATGATTTGTATATTGAATTTTATTTCCAACAAGAATATTCGAAGATGAAAATGATTGTTAGTTTTCAAAGGTTAGGATCCCTGAAAAATTAAAAACCAAGCTTTTCAATTCTTAGAATTTGCCAATAACATTCTCTTTTTATTTCACAAAATGATAGAGCAAACAAAGCTCTGCAACGTGAAATATTTACTGATGTTCTACAATGTCTATCGATCAGGATATATCAACTTTATGAAGGCATACAAGTCGTTTTTTCTGTGATTCTGTATGGAAACATCATTTGCTTTTGTGCTTTCTGAAAGGCTGAAATATCTTCATCAAAACATAATATAGAAGCCTGAAAAACGTTTCACTATCTAGAAAATCGTTTTCTCAAATCATTCTGTATAGTTAGAATCGAATTTTATCTGAAAACTCTAGAAGCTGGGAAATTTGATTTGGATATTTCAGATACCCAAACCTTGGAAATCTAGCAATCATTTTCGTCTATAAAAAATTTTGTTTGAAATAAAATTTTCTATACAAACTACTATTTGAATTCTTATTCATGGTTACAGCAGTGAAAAAATAATAGAAAATGAATCTGAGTGAATAACTTTAGAAATTTTTCTGTATTTCAAAAAGTTCATTTTTATTCAACATAATGTTTTCCTGTGTAGTACACTATTTCATGTATTCGAATTGTCACGACCATTACCTGTTTTTTCTATGTATATGATGATTGAAAACTCACCTAATACAGAGCCGAAAGGTTTTGTAACGTTTTCTATAAATGAACGTATTCCACGAGTAAGTTAATAGACTTGTATTGTTTCACTTCTTTGAACGTATTCTTCTTTTAAAAAGATTCTTGTTTGGATTAATCATCATTTTCTTCTTGCTGAAGAATATGCACCTAATGCAGCGAGTTTATATGTTACGTTTTTATGTGTAAGAACAGATTTGAAATTGGTTATTAAAATGCAAAATAATGGACAAGTTAGTTGAACTGATTCTTTATAAAAGAGTTTGTTTTTCAATTTATCTTTTTTATAAATTAAAGGTTAGAATTCAAATCGATGATATGGAATTAGCTGGAAATATAATTCAATCATTAGGAAAATTTTTAAAAATTGAAGATTTACAAACAAGTGGTGATTTTCCACAAGAATTTGAAATACTTGAACAAGTTTTCTATCAGGTATAATATTTCTTATAAAAATAAAAATAAAAATAAAAATGTTAATTATATTTATCTATTTAGATTGAAGAATATCAAGCTGCACGTCAAAGAATTTCATCTGATATGGCTGAACATGCAAGTATTATACGAAATTTTTTAATTCGTGCTGAAGATGCTCGTTTAATTGGTGATATGTAAGTAAATTAAAATAATAATATTTCATAAACAATCAATCATTATATAATTCTCTTACAAAATTTTCAAGTTTCATCAAGTTTTTATATATTCGAAAAAAAGTCTGTATTTAATTCGATCGAACAGAACTACGAAATATAATTGATTGAAGAATATTTGAGAGTAATGTGACATTCATATTTTATTTTAAATGATATTTTACCAAAAATAATTGCATGAATTAGAAATGAAAAACAAGAAACTTGTTGACCGACATCTTATGAATAATATTCACCTTTTAATAATTAGTAAGCTACTTTTTTTTTCTATTACATGGAATGATGTCATACAAATCTTGACGTATAAATTTGTTGAATTAACAATTCTCAAAGTTTCAAGTGCAAACTAGGCTCACATAATCGTAAAATCATGTAAAATAAAGAATCAATTTCTTGAATGATCGAATGACATTGAAAATTTTATGTTTGGTGCGAGCTTTTGAGTTTTGTTTTAGTTTTAGTGTAAACTGTCATGCAACTTTAGAAGTGTCACCGCAAAATATAAATATCAGCTCGATTTCAATCATAGAGAATATTATTTGTCTTAATAAATTCATATATTTAGATGTATTTTAGATTGCTCTGTATCATAGAAAAAATACTAGTTTATTAACCTCTTTTACGACCGGCTACGCATATGTACGTCGTGAACTTTATCGTCACTTGAAATGAATATAATTAAACCTATAATGCATATTTTTTCCGATACATTTGCGTAAAAGCAAGCGTCAAACAATAGGAACTTTCCATATTATCATGTTGTTACAGTTCATGTTAAATTCATGAGTTAAGAAATAAAGATATACGTGGTACAAAAGCCAGTCTTTTTTTTATGTATGTGTAACTTTTATTGGTAACCAAAGGGTTAATTGTTAAAAGTTGAACATTACTCATAAGATGTAGGTCAACAATTTTCTTTTTTCTTTATGTTTGCAAGCTGTGCAATTACTTTTGATAAAATATCACTTTAGAATATATGTAATATCGCTCCCAGCCATTCTTCAACCCATTATGTTTCCATAGTTCTCTTTGATTGAATCAAATGTGGAATTTCTTTTTCCATACATGAAAGCTTGATGAAAGTGTAAAAAAACTTGCAAGAGAATTATCAATGATTAATTCTTGATGATAAATTTGTTAGTTTTAAATTTTGAGATTAAAATCTTATTGTTATAATTTAGATCAGTTATGAAACAACATTATATTGATTTACTTAATTTAAATCGTGATTTAATTAATGGTTATCAAATTCGATGTACAAATCATGAAGAATTAATGAAAAATTTACGATATCTTAATCAAACAGTACAAAAAGCTGGAAATTTAAGACGTAAGTTATATTTGAGATGAAAAATTCAAACAAATGTTTTTATTTGTTTGTAGTTGGAAAATATAAGACAAATACAGTTAATCAATGTCGTATAGCGATTAAAGGACATAATCTACAATTATTAATTAAATCGATTAAAACTGGAAATGTTTAATACACTCAATTTTTTTTATAATTTCTTTGTGAAATTTCATTGATTTGTCGCAATAAGATAGATCTGAACTTTTTTATATTCCTTTTTTATTTTAATAAAATAATTGAATTATTATGGAGCACTATGGAAAAATTTTATTATTATATATGACGAATATTTTAACAAGGTGTAAATTATTTTCTAATACCATTATCCATATTGTCTGGTGTAATTATAACTAGACAGCTAGAAACGATTTTGAATTCAATAAGACACTATTATTGACTTAAGATTTCCTTGATTTTGCTTAGTAACTATCAAATGTTGATGATTTTGAAGTGATACCGTATAGTGAGTTTTAGAGAACTTTGTTTTTATCTGCAGGAATAGTAAAAACAATGCTCTATATTTTCTGTGATAGTTCATCATATATCAACTTATATCATAATAATAAAGTTTCGATAACAAGCTGTTCATTATCGTATATGATGGTAACGTGAATGGTAATGTTTAAAAGAAAGAAGCCTTAGTATTCTTTCGAATTACTATTAACAGAAACTAGATACAGAACTGCAGTATTCATCATTGGAAAGAGATGACGAAGACGCATCAAATTGTGCATTTTAGCTTTTTCTCATATGATTTCTGAAGTTTTTCCAATCAATTTTTTAAATGTCGGAAAATGGTTTTTATTTTAAAAAAAGTGATTTTTTTCATAGTATTTGATAGATAATTTACTTACAGTATTGACAAAAATACCTATGACTATTAAATGATAAAATATTTACCGCTAATATTTTGGCAGCTTCGTAGATCTTTAACTAGCAGTTCGAATGCCTGCCTGATAATAAAAACTTCACTGGCAACACCCACGGTATTGCATTTATTTTAAAAAAGGTCAATTGGAAAGTTTAAAATAGTCGACGACAAAGCTATATAATAAGCAATCCTGTGCGTTCTCATCACGTCTTTTCAATGATGAATACCGCCGTTCTGTATCTAGTTTCTGTTAAAAGTAATTCGAAAGAATCTAAGGTTTCTTTCTTTTAAGCATTACCTTCACGTTAGCATCATAAACAATAATGAACAGCTCTTTGTGGAAACTTTATTATTATGATATAAGTTGACGTATAATGAAGTATCACAGAAAAATAGAGCATTGTTTTTACTATCTCTGCATATAAAGAGAAAGTTTTCTAAAGCTCACTATACGGTATCAAAATGTAACTGCCACTACTTTTGCACTGCCTTAAGTATATTCTTCTCGTCAAGTCACCACTGGTTTTGCTCAGCTTCAAATGTTATGATATCATCTGAAAGCTGATGAAATATTGTAGATATACAACGCTCAATTTAGACTATCACTCTATATAGACAGAAAATTTCCTCGAGGCTTCTATACGATTTTATTCTGTCAGCGTCACTACTTTTGGTATGCCCTAAGTAGTTATAGTCTGAAAAAAGTTAATTTTTATATTTATTTGAATATCTAGTGCTCTTATTTTTTGGATGTATTTGACATAATGGTCCTACCAACGTGGTAGAAGTTTATTATATTATTCTTGCTAATCAAGATATAATTTCACGTTTATATCGATACTTCTCAGATAAATCATATTCTCTTTCGAGCATAGTAACAGTACTAAAATTTAGATTATAAGTAGAAAATGTCATCAAGACGATGTGCAGAATCGATTCTCCAATACTTTACGAAAAAAGTAAAGATTAAAGATCGTCTTTTTCAATAGAAGATTCTACAGAAGAAATTGCCTTATCGATTTTATTGATTCTTCAACAATTTTTCGAGATCAGAATGAGGAGAATATCTTCTTTAACTTAAGTTTCTACGAATGCTGATAAAGCAACTTCGTCGAATATTAACACTCTGCCAGAAAATTATGATGAACCTGAAACTCAATCTTGACTTCTTGATATTTCTAATAAATCAGCAAAGATAAAAAAATTCAATATCATTGTCACAAAAAATGAATTCATCCGCATTAAAGTCATTCAAACGAACAGAAATACTTATTCTAAAATGAGGCTCATACTGTTGCAATGTTTGTACATTATTTTATCGTGATGAAATAGATAAATTAGCTTTGACGACAACCGATTATGTCAAAAAGATGATTTACAGATTATACTTAGTTAACATTTTGTAATGTGAGGTTTGTGTATAACAACTATGATCTAAATTCAAAATAAAGTTGAAAAATTATTTTTCAGTAATTCAGAAAAAAAAGTAATTGGTGAATTATGTCTTGAGGGTGTGGATAGGTGTGATTTGCTTTCCAAACGCATAGATACACCGACATCGCGACATCGACATTGATTTATAACGCTAGATAAATATCTTTTGTTTGTTTTTTGAAACTTCTTTCTTTACATGAAGATTTAGAAATTCTGTCAGGAAACAATAGAACGAGATAGCGCAGTATATTTCATGACAACAAAACAACTAAATAGTCTGAAACAGTTTATCGCCTCAAATTCGTAAATATACCTCATGCTCCTATGTGAGAAATTATTTTATAATGATAAATAAATGTTTTTCCTGAGTCTCACCGGATCTCACAACATTCTGCCACCTCTGTATTATTAATGCAATTAATCTTATTTGGTTGGATTAGCTGTTATCCGAACTGTAAAGATTCGGATACAAATGATGGAAATATTCATAAGACAAAAAAATCAATTGGAAGAATATGTTTTGTGTGTATTGCAAATTCGATTCATCTTCTAAAGAAATAACCAGCGCGAATATAAGCGTAAACCAATGCATTGATCAGCGGTGACAACTAACATTTTTCGATGAATTTTTAAAAAAGTTTTTTCATTTTGAGAGATTCTGAAATAAAAAAGAGATACAATGATGTTAAAGAACTTATTGACAAGAAAACAGACAATAACATCTTCAAAAACCAATTTGGGATGTCGGAAGCTTTTAAAAATCAAATATCTATCTTTGTGTCGCGATAGCAACGGTGACACAACCAATCGGCTTATATCTGTAAAGACTAATAAAAACATATGAAACATTTAGGAGTAATTTTCAATTCAATTTTCTACACACCAACATCACGTATGCTCTTATCCATCTTTCAATGTTTATAATATAATCATTTTCTAAATTTGACTGGCAATATTTTGTTCCAGGTAAATAGCATAGATAGTTATTGACTAATAAAATACAACAGTCACACAAATAAATCGGCTATCATATTGCTAAACACTTATCAGCTAAAAAAAATAGGTCTGAGTATCAGTAATTCTATGTTATATATTGACATAGAAGTAAAGGAATAGGTAATTATATAACAAGATCTATATGATAGGAAGGTGAAGTTTTCTGTTCTGTCCTTAATTTTCACAACTTTTCGGGTCAAGCCCAATTTAACATCATTGCTAATCATAAAAAGTCTTACTTTCATGAATACTTTAAACACTCCTTAGTACGTAGCAAGATGACATAGTTCGCTCCGGAACGACATAGTACTGAGCACTATATTTTAATGAAAATACATACCACTAAACGCTATAAGATGTTCCAACTATTCATAGAAGTGATATTTTTTACTATGATTAATGAGGTAAATTTGAACCTGTTCCGATATTTCAATAACCTTACTGCGTTTTATGCCAATAATGAATTTCCTTAAGAGAATCTTCAATCAATAATCATCCAGTAATGTTTTTTAAATGGTTTATTCAAAAGCATCATACGTTTCTATTGCATATTTCGAATCATAAAAAATGAATATAGTATGGTAAAGTTCCTCACATGTCGTTTGCTTCAATTAAGCACTGCTGTCAACTTTACATACTCCAACAGAAAGTAAAAAGATTATTTTTCAGATAGATAAAAAAAAACGTTAAAAAAATGGATGCCAATGAAAATACTACGTTCTGCAAGAGGTTGTTTTCATACTGATGAACTTCAAAAAAAAAAAGAACTGCATTCACCATATTTATCATATGAGGCAGATGACATTCACTATTGATTTCACTAACAAAAATATTTTAATTCAACAAATGTGAACGGAAAACAATAACTCTGAAACAGATATAATAGGATATAGCATCGATTTTCGCATCTTTTTTCGATTTACTTATTTTTACGTAGGAGGACACAATGTTTTTTTGGGTTAGCAGGTTTATGTTTTTGTAGAGCACACAATTCTCTATCAATTATGTCTAAGAATAATTCTTTTACAAACTTTCGAAAAAAATTGTAAAGGGAACGAACAAAAAAGCTCTATTCTTTACATGCCATTTGTTACTATTGAAGTCAAACATAATTTTATTAACAATATTTTGGAAGTTATTGATCTGGCGTCATTAAGTTCATAGAGCTTACTCAGCATTAAGATAAGCTATGAGAATATTGTCAGCTGATTGATTAATCATTATTACTCTTTATATATATATATATTCAACTCAAAACTTTATTCGATAATATTAACATACTCTTCAAATTAATCGTGGTTTTATAACTAAAATGCAACATTGGATCATTATTCTCCTATTTTCTACTATCCTCTCAATCACACAAACATCTTATGGTTAATATAATTGAAATTAAATTATCCAAGAAAAATTTCTACGTTAGGATTTCTATATTTTAGGTTTGCTTGTTGCTAAACCTAATTGGGTAGGTAATTTTTATACTACTACTAAATGTGATAGAAGTCGATGTTGTTGTATATATGGTTTGATAACGATGGCACGTGTTGGTTCTAATCAACTTCGTCTTGTCACACAAGTTGACGGTACTGGATGTCCACCAAATCGTTATATTGATACAACAATTAGTCTTCCAACTTCATTCAAAACTGCTGTTTATCTTTTTGGTGGTCTCATAGATGTTAAATTGAGTTCTGATAGTCGTATCATTGATGTTTCTAATCAAGCTGCTCCACAATGTAGTGGAAGTGCTATTCGATCATAGAATGCTTATTAATAAATAATGAAATTTTGTCTTCTGTTTATATCTCTATAGTTATCTGAACTTTCTCGAAGTCTAATAAGAAGATACTTACATTAATTGAAGTTCCATATCATCCATTGAAAATCAACATAGCTTATTCGATCGTATATCAGTATAATCTTCTTTGATTATTGGAATATATATATATATCAGGCTCGACAAATTGTTTTTTAGAAGGAATTTTCTATCCTTTTCATGGTCAATATGAGTAAATAGGTTAAGTTTTACATCATAGATACATCCTACAAATCCTTAATTTAAAAGAAAAACTTGAATATCAATACAAGATATGACAAAACCTATTCTTGGAAATATCCGTTTCATATAGGACAAGTCTTAATAAACAACAATCGTCAGTTTTGTTTTTTCACATGATATAACATATGGTAACAAAAAGATTATATTCGCTTATTATTCATTTCTATATTTAATTGGACACGATATGATATGTCTATAGCAAATATCTTGATTTTCTAGAATGCTGTTATCAAAAGCAGAGATTACCAGAACCTCCATATGGAAATCGTTTGAATATGTTCTACTCATCCCATCTACAAGCAATGAGTACAATTCTATATGTAAATTTTATTTATATTGGTTAATGAAACCACAGTAGTTTATTAAAAAATATCAAAAGCTCAAATAAAATTGTTATTATCAGCGAATCAAAATAATTTCTTTCTTTAATAAAAATCGAATTCATTTAATATTAAAACATAAAATTAGTATTTTTCTTCATTCTTAAGATTAAAGAGCGAATCAGATTCTTCTTCTATGTTGCATTTTTAACTGGTGTAGAAAAAGGCTAAAAAATAAAAGACACAAAATATTCTACTAACGCAGATGACAATATCAGTTTAATAATCAACGTTCCATTTAAGTTAATTATTAACAAATTTTGTGTGTAAGGTTCCATCGAAAGACACAAATATGAGATCAAAAAGGATTTTTTAAAATTTTATGATATAATGAATTCAGCTGATTGAAAATGAATGAAGTCAAAGACTTAAGAATTCACTTTTGAATATTATTTTATTAAGTAAATAAATACTTGAATATAATATTGCCTACATTTCCATATGTTCTGCTCATATTTTTGTGCATACAAAATTGAGTATTTTTTTTTCTTTCATCATTATTTCATACAACCTTTGATATTAATTTTAATATTTGTTTTATCGACTCTAATAAAAAAAAACATTTCTAATTTTATAAAATTCCAGCACAAAGTTACAATTATTATTCTAAGTCACATTTATACACTCTTAAATTAACTAGTATAGTAATAGATAGTCGTTGAAAAGATTTCTTTGGTCATGTTCATAATTTGATTGATTTTCATAGGGTGAAGAAGATAACGAAATGTTTAAATGAATTTTACATGTTGATTTATTTTTTACTATGGAAGGAATTGAATCCATATGATTCGATAGATTGCTAGCACAATTTTTCTTAATTATAAAGTATATTATTTGAGTAATCAAATTTTGTTAGATGATAATATTTCTTCTTATATGTTTTAAGTTCGAAATTGTTTTCTAATTAACAGAATAAAGTTTATTTTTTTTTTAAATTAAAGATTTCTAATATAAAAACATAAATATTGACATGAAGATTGGTTTTTTGACGAATGTCTTGTGTTTTTATGATGAAATCAAAATAAAAGAAGCAAGTCAAGTTGACATTTAGTTCATTTTGTCTTTGTTCATTATAGATGATTGTTTTATTTTCACACTCTTCTAATAATTTCTGTACTGTAATCTAGCTCAAACTTTCAATCTTATTAAATAAGTTTTGATAACAAACTAATATTTATAATAATAATGTAGAAATTATTTGAATTCAATAGTACAGAAAAAAAGATAATTTTATTTAAGCTAGAAAATTTCATTATTAAATTAATTTGATTATAATTGAGTCACAATTTTCATAAATTTTCATATGCTGATGACGGAACAAATCATGATCTTTTGCTGTTCTTTTCTGTTTTTTTGTTTTGCTTCCCATATTCCATTCGATAATGCAAACAGAGAAATAAGAGAAATGGAGACAACCGACAACATTAGTTGTCGGTTGCACAGAAAAAATTACTTTGAATAACAAATAAAACAATACTCAACCGACACCTTGTTCCTTGACAACAAATAGACAATCATAGTGCAAATTAATAAAAAGTAAAAAATAGAAGAACAATCATATCGAACTCAAAGAGAAATATTTCGTTTTTTTTTTACTGATGCATCATCTTCAATTGAGAAAAAAAATAGTCGAAATTATCAAATACTCACTTGGCTTTATTTTGTTTGTTCAGTTGCAGCCCTGCATCTGCTAGATTGTATCGACATAATGAAATAATTTCATTTCGCTATACATCTACTATGCACTCTTCTCTCTTTCGTTTCTCACTCATTCTTAATCTCATTCGCCATTCTTTTACTTGAATAAAAAACGAAAGTCTTCATCCCATTTACAGTACCGTAGAAACACGGAATTTTTAGTGTCTATTGTTGTTGTCGTCGTTATTGTTTGTTGATGTTATTGCTAAGTTAAAGCAACGACGATATTCACATTGAGATAGATGTAACTGATTGTGAAGTGTTTGTTGTGATGCATAGAATATAGACTGTATTTTAACAAAGACAGGTAATGTATAGGCAAAAAACAGAAGCGTTTCTTCAACTTCTATTCAATTTATGTTTAATGTTGTTCATGGTTAAAATGTATTGAATTATGTATCTGTTGGTTTCTGTTATTTTTGTTTTAGAAAAACTTTCAATATTTTCAAAATAAAATTATGAACAAAAACGACGACACAACACAAGCACCTCAACCATTAACATTAGAACCATTAAGTTATCTTGCAAATCATTCAGTAGCTGGTGATCCAAGTAAATCATTTTGTTGTTTCCTCATGAACTTCTTTTTGTTTATTTTCTTCAGATGAGCCTCAAAAAATGGAAACCTATGCAAACAATATAACAACTAATATCATAACAGATGCAAGTAGAGTAGCAAGTGGAAAACATCATGAAAATATTGATAATACAGGGATGGATAATAGTGATGGATTAAAGTAACAGCATTTAGAAACAAATTATATTTCTTAATTAAAAAGAAATAATAATAATAATAATAATTCTTTTTAAGTTCTAGTTTGTCTCCAACATCAAACCAGATACATCAACCTGAACATTCCATAAGTAATGGTATTCATAGTGACAATGAATTTGATAATGAAGATATCCAAAAAAAAATGAATACTGTTATTCATGATATTCGATCAGGACCTGGTGATGATACAAATACTTCACGAAAATCAATAACATCAAATCATTTACAAGATGGTCAAATTAATACTTCAACACCTATTACTAATAATCCATCAACAGAAATGGATTTAACATCCAAAACGTCAACTGAAAATCCAATAAATGAATCAGCTTCAGTTGATCATCATATATCAACTGAACAACATTTACCATCACCTGTTCAACAGGTTGAAATTTCATCAGATGATGATGATCATCATAGAAAACAAGCAACATCAATCAATACTACAAGTCTTATTAACAGTACTACTGATCAACACCTATCAGAACAAGAAAATCATATAAAAAATCCATCCGATGATGATTTTTTTGATACAAAAGCAGGAACTATTGATGATGATAAACGACCATCAAGTGCTGTTAAACAAAGTATTTTTGATGAAACAACACATTTTGCTACAACATCAACAAAACCATCGTCTTCAAGAGTACAATCAGCAACTAGTAAACGATCGGTTCAAGTTACACCCGATGAAGTAAAATCAATATTTCGATGAACATATAAAAATTCTTATTTATTTTTAGCCATCAACATCTGGCGATGAAAAACACATTCAAATGACTCCATCAAAATTATCACCTGATACTGGTAATGATACTGATCTTGATAATCAAGAAGTAGCAACTGTTGCTCGACGCCCATCACGTGCCATGTCACCAGTTCATCGTCCACGATCACCAACACCGAATGATTCACGTAAAGCATCAATCACTATTGAACCATCATCATCATTACATACTAAACAATTACAATCACCCACACATGTCACAATAGGTGATCATACAACAAGTTCAACTTTAAATAATAATAAATCAATTTCACCTATAGTATCAAATGATAATCAAGAAGACGAAGAAGAACAAAAACAAAATTTTGAACCACTAACAACAATTATTTCACCAACATCACGAAGAGAAAGTACAAATAAAAATGACCAGCAACAAACATCACGACCAACAAGTGCTACTAAAACAAAATTTGATGATAGTTCATTTGAACCATCAACAAGTCGACCAACTAGTAGTAGTCTACATCATTCAACAACAGTAGATGATCATTTACAACTTGTTAAACCAGGTGAACAACTTCAAATTCCAACAGATGATTTTGATAATGAACGAATAAATAGTCCACCACCGTCACCATCTGGTATTAAATCAACGGCATTAACTGATTCATCATTAGAAAATAATGTTACTCAAAAAGAACAAGATCATTCTCGACGACCAAGTGAAATAAATCGAAAAAGTCCAACAAAAAGTATGATTAGTAATGGAAAAGATATTGATGGAGAAGTTCTATCATCAAATAGTCCAAGAGAAAATGATGCTGACCAACAACAAACAGATATTACTCATCAAAAATCGGCAAGGTAAATAAATTAATACTGATTTGTTTTGTTAAAGATTCAAATAAATATTGATATTTGAAATGATTAGTCGACGTGAGAGTCAGGTAATTGGACAAACAGAACACATTTCAAGCAGTCGTCGAGCAAGCACTTCTCAACAACAAGACCAATTTGACAGGTGAATACTTAATTTCATACGGAATATTTTCATATCTTTTATCTAGTCATCGACAACAATTAACTGAAAGTCGACGAACAAGTCATGTTGCACAAGAACCAACAAAGTAAACATTTTATTTTGTGTTAATTAATAAACAAATTTTATTTTTAGTCATGAAGAAAGTTTTGTTCCCGAAGATCAAACTATCCATCGAAGAGAAAGTACTGATTTTCAACAAAAACCTTCTAGCCGAAAAGGAAGTATTGCTTCTGAAAAACAAATACCTAGTAAGCGGACAAGCATTACTGCAGAACATCAAACTTCCAGCCGTCGAGAAAGCACTACTAATGAATTGCCATTATTTAGCGAACGAGAAAGTACTGCTGTTGAAGAGAAACTGTCTAGTCGGAAAGGAAGTACTGCTACTGAACATGAAGCACCCAGCAAACGAGGAAGTATTGCTCATGAACAACATACTTCCAGTCGTCGAGGAAGTACTATTGATGAAACGCATGTATTAAGCAAACGAGGTAGTATTACTGTTGAACAAAAGCCTTCTAGCCGAAAAGGAAGTACAACTTCTGAACACGCGCCACCAAGCAAGCGAGATAGTACTACTGTTGAACAAAAGCCTTCTAGCCGAAAAGGAAGTACAACTTCTGAACACGCACCACCAAGCAAACGAGAAAGTATTACTTCAGAACAACAAACATCAAGCCGACGAGGAAGCATCAAAGACGAACCACAGGTATCAAGCCGACGAGGAAGCATCAAAGACGAACCACAGGTATCAAGCAAACGAGGAAGTACTGCTCATGAACAACAGACTTCTAGCCGTCGAGAAAGTACTGCTGATGAACCACATGTATCAAGCAAACGAAGTAGTACTGCTCCTGAACAAAAACCTTCTAGCCGAAAAGAAAGTACTGCTTCTGAACAAGAAGCACCCAGCAAACGAGGAAGTCTTGTCCATATCCTACAGACTTCCAGTCGTCGAGAAAGTACTTCTGATGAACCTCATACAACAAGCAAAAGAGGTAGTACTGTTCATGAAGAACAGGTTTTCAGCCGTCGAGAAAGTTCTACTCATGAAGCACAATTATCAAGCAAACGAGGAAGCATTGCTTATGAACAAAAACCTTCTAGCCGAAAAGGAAGTACTGTCTCAGAACACGAACCGTCTAGCAAACGAGAAAGTTTTACTCCTGAACAACACATATCCAGTCGACGAGAAAGTAGTAGTGATCAACATAAAATAGCCAGTCGAAAGGGTAGTACTGCTTTTCAACAACAATCACCAAGTAAAAGAGAAAGTTCTTCTCCAGAACAACAATCATTTATTCACCGAAAAAGTCATCAAGAAATATCCTCAAGCCGTCGAACAAGTACACATCGAGATAATGAATCATCAAGGTTTCAATAAAAAATAAAATAAACAAACTGATTCTTTTCTAACAAAAAATTATTTTCTTTTCTAGTCCACATCGTTCAGGTGTTGTTAACAATATATCTCCATCACAAGAATCAAGTCGTCGTAATAGTTTTATCAAACAAGAACATCAACCAATACCTGTTTATATTAATAAAGATAATCATCCTTCAGGATTAAATATCATTGATACAAATCATCAACAAATAAACCATGAATCGAATTCATTACATAGAGATGTTCTATCATCAAACACGGGTGTTCCTGTTCGAACATCAGCGAAATATGAACAAGAACGTACACCATCTATTGAAAAACGACAAAAATCTTCATCAACAGTTGATGAAAATGACAAACATCAATTATCATTCAATCGACGTTCTGGTCAACAATCAAAACGAAATTCAAATGTAATTTCTGATGAAACTGTTGTAACACCCATTATCATGGATTCATCAAAAGCTCGACAACAGAGTGGAAATGTATGTTGTTTATTAAATACAGTTTTTTTTATTTCAGAAAAATACATTTGGTTTTCTCTTATTTATTTTAGCATACATTACGAATGGATTCTGATAATGAGTATACTTCAAAATCAAAATTACCTCCGGTTAGTTCTTCATTACAAAATAAAACACATCATTCAGAAATAATAAATAAACAAAAAATACCACGATCAAATCGATCAGAAATGCAACAATTAGCATCATCACGTACTTCAACACAAAGTGACGAGGAGCGACAAACACATTGGACAAAACAAGTCCTTGTTCCATCAATTCCTTTAACTGATGATGATGCTGGATCACCACGTGAAGAGCAACCAAGACCGCAATCACCCAATGTTGAACAAATAGCTGAACGTAATCAACCACCAACACCACCAATAACAATAACATCAGTAAAGAAACGAAATATTGCAGGTAAATAATATATATTTATATATATTTTTTCAATCATTTTATTTCTTCTTCTAAAAAGATGGAAAAAAACTAAAAGAACAGCAATTTATATCACGTCGAAGTGCTAGTGTTGATTCAGTGAATCCTATTCGCATGGTAGATGATAATTCACTTGATTCAACATCAGAAAATAATTCAGACTTTGAGTCAAAGAGACGACGACATGTGAAACCAAAAAAGAAAGATGTTGAAACAAATACCGATGAAACATATGATATTCAACAACAAAACCAACAACGTAACTTTTTCGATAACAGAGGTAAATTGTTTTTTTATATTAAACATTCATTAGTCCTTGTTTAATAAATATATGAAAAAAAAAAACAGATTCAATTTATTTTACGATAAGAAGCCGTACATTAATAATAAATAATTTTATTTTTTCTTTTTTTGTTGATTAGCAATAATTATTGACTTTCAATGATTTAATAGTAAAAATATAAAATATTTGTTTTTTTTTCGTACATTGAATTAAAAATAAAGTCTAACTTATGCTATAAACTAAATTATGTAGAAAAGAAATTTAAAACTTTATTTTTTAATTTACAAATACAATATCGTAGTTGAGTACAGTAAATTTAAAGTTTAGGTTCTTAAATAGAGGAAGAATTTGTCTTCTAAATATATTATATGACTTAATGAAAAATAATAGAAGTGATAATCAATTTTTAATACATTGTCATCTATTGATAATAATCCTTGGCTTTATTTATTTTAGAATCAACTCCACAAAAACCATTAAAAGCAACAAAACCAATGGTGGATCATTTTCATTCAACACGTCGACGTGCACCAAATAGTGAACAAATATTAGCAACTCCTGATACAATATCAAACGCCGATACACCTACTATTCGACGTACAGTTAAATTATCAAATGATCACAATCAAGATAAAGAGCCTGTTAATGTTAATGTAACAGTTGTTGTTAAAAGATTTGCTGGTACAAATGATGATGGAACTTCACGTACAATAACTGAAGCATTTATTGACCAGAAACCTCAACAATATTTTGAACATGTTCAACATCCACCAGCAATTCTTCCACCATCATCGCCAACAGGAGATAAAGAAAAACCTGAAGAATCAATTGAACGTCCCAGAACATCTGAACAATCACCAATAAAATCTTCAGAACAAATTATTGAACATCATGATCGTGAAACGCATTCAGATACTGAACATATTATAACTGACAAACAAAAAAAAAATCGTCGACCAAAACGTATATCACGTACATGTCAAACATATGAATGTGTTTTTCGTCGTATGGAACGGGAACAATATCATGATTTACGAGCAACAAGTGATACAGAAAAAAATATTCAAACACTCAAATCACAATTGCGTCCGAGAAGAAAATCATCGAAGAAAAATCTTCCACTTTATTTATCAGCTGATTCGTTTAGGTTATTTAAAACTTATTTTTCTTGTCAATTTATTTATTTATTTATTTTTATAAAACTTCTTTGTAGAGTTGAAGAATTATTACCAAAATCATTTCATCAATCACGAAGAAATATGTCAAAATCATCTGCACTTGCTCGTAGTTTATCACCACAAGGTGGTAAATTATTAATTCTTCGTCCAACACTTCCATTTCATCATACCGATGCTGTTAATGTTCAACGCGTATGTCTTCAATATGCTATTGATTTAATTCCAAATGATAATATGCCACATGGTACAATGTCTACTCATCGAAATAAATCAAATGTTTTTAAACATCCAGAACAAACAACTAGTTTACCGATGATAAGTACATCATCATCAGGATTTAATATTCCAACAAATAAATCAAATTCAAAAGAAAAATCAGCTTCAAATAAAAGTGAAGAATATATGCAGCAACGTAAAACTGGTGGTGGTGTTTAATTGAATTATATATTTTAAACGATTTTTGACTAGACAAGTGTGCCCATGATTGAGTTTCCTCTTCATTTATTTATCCTTATATATTTCATTTTATTTTTTTTGTTTGCAGAGAAATATTTAATCGAAACCTTACAATGCGTTCTACCTTTTTAAAATAGACAAAAAAAAAAAAATATTTATGTATTTTAGCAGCTTTTCGAATTATTTATTACAAATCTTTATATATAAAGAATGTCGCACCATCAGTAATGATCGATTGTCAATAACATGTTTCATACTTTTTCTTGATTTAGAAAGCTAGAATTTATATTGCGGATATATATATTGAACTGAAATCTGTAATTTTTGCTTAAGTTTGCGCTCTCTAACTTAAAACAGTACTGCCATGAATGAAAACAATTGAAATATGTAATTTTTTATATTTGATACTGAGAAAAAGTACTTTTGATCACGAATCTTTTTCAATTTGAAATTTTTCATTATTTCTTTCTGAATGCTTCTACACGATGGACACTTACCATTTTGTTTTTAGAAACCAACAAGACTAACATACAATCGAAGCAATTAGTATATGATGAAGTTAGGTGGTCTCCAATAAAAGCAATTAATGAATACAGTACGTGTATCTGTAGAAAAAAATTACATATCCATTGAGAAATATAGTTCTTCTCCAGATTAACAACATTCTATATACTAATTGGTTTAACCGGCAGAGCACATCAGAATTTGAGTGTCACAATGTTGTTGATCTGGAGAAGTACGACCAACGATATCTTTAACTAATTAGTCTGATTAAAAGTGAGGAATACCACAGAATGAGGATAAGAGAATCAAAGAATACTAGGGTAAGCTTGTCATTGACCAGGAGCAACACCTATATACTTTATTAACAAATAATAATGTGAAATGAATGCTGAAAAATGTTGGTGATCAAAAATTCTATAACCATTTGGTATTTTTAACATATTTATTTCTTTAATAGAAATATTTAGACACACTTGATGAAAAGAAATTTTCCAAGACAGGTATTTTTACAAAAATATAAATTATAATAAAACTCGATGTATATAGACATGATCTCTATGATATTCTATATTTGACTATAATTGATAAAGTGTTTCGTTCATCATGTTTTTTTTTGCAATTTATTTTTCTAATTATAACGATGTATCAAATATTCTTCCTCTGTATGTGGCTAAAATAATTCTGTTATGAGCCATGAATCACCAATACTTTATGTTCTTTTGGTATATTTTAGATTCAATGCAAAATATTTAAAAAATCTTTTTTACATTCGTAAGTGATGGACAATTAAGATAAAATTTCCCATTACATCAGACAGATGCTAGATATAATGCATTCCTCTATAGTTTTAAAAAATCTTAGCCACATTATGTCGTAATTGACTTAGTTATAAAAATATTATCAAAAATCCGACATGAAAATTTATGTATTTCAATCTTTTCAATGCATTTCAGCATTAGTTGAAGGTAGAAAGCTAAAATTTCTGCAAACTAAAGAACTTGGGTATATATATATATTCATCATACATGTGATAAAAATTTCAGCTTACAGCATCAAGAAAAATATGAAAAATATCATTGATAATTTTTCGTCAATTATTATGGAGCACCCTTTATATTTTTAATGTGAAATCGATAATTTAAGGATGAGAATTTATTTTTTTTTAATTAAGACTTTTTACAAGTTTATTAGCAAAATGTTACAAGGTAAATATAAGTTTAGAGTATTTGTGAGAATTCATTTGGATATTTTCATTGATGTTGTTTTATTTGTTTTAGATGGAGTGACGACAAATAATATGAAAACTGTAAAGTTATTTTAATAAAAAGGAAAAGTAAATGTTCATAAAAATATTTAATTCATCTTTCGATTATCATGAAAGAAAACAATTATTGAAAATTTTTTTTGTTCTCTGCATTTAAAATCTTTTCAGGCAGGTTGATCCTTTGAATGAGGAGATTTATTTTCCATATTTCTTTACCATTACATATAATCAACAGAGAAAGAGTTAGTCAAATTGACACAATTAAAAACATAGAAAATATGGAATTATGCTTCATTCGAAGAACATTTTTGAATGTACAGAAAAAAACACTCTGAATAATATATCATCGTTAAATTTCAATGGTAACAGTAAGTATGGATATAATAAGGTAGAAAGATGTACTTTTCTATTATCTATTCTTCTATAGGCACTTGCGTTTATTCTATGAAACCTATCCAAGAACATTTGAATGCAAATCTAAGTGTCCTTTTTTTTTTTGAATTCATTAGTATTCTTCATAATTATATAAACAATCTAGTACAGTGCAGGAATGAATAGGTAAATATGATTTATAGATGTACCCGGAGATTATTTATCCTTTCTTTAACTAAAATGCAATTCAATTAAATGCAAAACTAATAATCGTCTATGTCAAGTAATAGCTTCTAATAGCCGTAGAGCAAAGTCTATAATCGAAAGAAAGCGGATAATATAAAGAACAAAAGTATTTTCAAGGATAATAGCTATAGACAAATTGCTACTGCTCAAGAATATATTCGTGCTTCGAAAACTCCTCAAGATTTGTCTCCAGTAGAAGAACTACAAATTTCATACGTCAGCTTCTTTGATCGATAATGACAAACATGAACCTTGCCAATTCCCATTTTTTTTTTATGAATACAATATTAATAGTGTCAAGCTCATCATATTTATGTTTAGTACAAAATTTTTATGTTACTAAAAAATTTGTTAGAATTTTTTCTTTAGTTCTGTCCTATTTAATATTCACATTCGACTAGAATATAGAATATACTATGAAACTTATTTTTGTATATCTAGTTAGCTGCAATATGAATAACACAAAATCTATGAGAAAAAAACTAATCAATTCTAATCTCTGACTTCTTCGTCTATGGTTTCCCTTACATTATAATAATTATAATATACTATTGCAAAAAAAAAATAGATCAAGTAAATATCCGTTTTCAATTTCTTGTCACGGATGTAGCACAGTGCTGTAGTTTAGAGTGAAAAACCAATAATAACTACATTCAATGAAATGAACACATGTATCAATACGTATTATATTATTTATTCAATGTAAGCTCTATTTTATTCAGATTGTAGTTTCGATACTATAGTAGAGCAAAAATTATCTTCTTACTATTTGTTTGCCAAATGTCTCTTAATCATTAGAATAAACAAATGAGTACTGTCATGTCACTATAATAATAATGGCGAAATCCGTTAGACAACAAAATGAACCCGAGAAGAAAAATTACAATGATTATTCTTAATTGAGTACAACCGTTTGTCTCCGTTCAAATCATTATCGATTACACTGAATTAGAAAGTAGGGTATTGTATTCGATTATAAATGAATCCAAGGAAACCGTACAATATAAATACACTTGATCTATCATTTTGTTATATAGAGAGTAAGTTAATTTGATTAATAATACAATAATTATCGGCTTTTTAGTAGTTAGATAAGGTTTTATACATAACCAGATCGTACATTTTCTACTTTTTTTCTGCTCTATGATCTTACTTTTGTAACAACAATAAAAAAAAACCGGCTATTCACTGTAAAACTGCTTCTTCGGAATGCCGATTATAAATATTGATGATGCTAACGAGTTTTATAATTGAATGAAACGAGAAGAAAATAAAAATATAAAAAGACGTAGGAGTTGAGTACTTTTGCCAGAACATTTACGTTGGCCTATGTAAGGTTTGAGATCATTTCCTCTTTTTTTTCTGTTGTGTGCGCCATCGAACAACGTAGTCGCAGACATCAGACTTAAGAGTATTACTTCTTCTATTTGCCTAATAACTTTCTTCTTTCTCGCTTATTCTTCAAGCAAAAACAAAACGAATATGCAAATATACCATTGATTCCATTATGTATATGGTGTATTTCTCTATTAACCTAGATAATCTGATCATTATATAATTTCAAACATTTATTCCCGTAAGGAAAATTATATAACTGAAATTGCAGTATGCTAATAAAAAAAAGGATTTTTTTCCTAGTACATTTTGAATTGTATTTCTTGATAATTACGCAGATCATTAGCTTATATATCCATAAAAATTCATAATTTCTTCGTATGAATATTTTTATTGTCAAAGAAAAGGAAAAAAAATACGCCCGAGCAGGGGCTCGAACCCTGGACATTGTGGTTAAAAGCCACACGCTCTACCGACTGAGCTACCCGGGCATGCTTCTCTTTCATGATTAGTGCTTGTCTATCAGCTGCATCGTAGCTAATATAAAAAAGGATTAATTTTTTTTGTGTTCAGAAGTACATATCTTGTATGGGAGTCGTCGCTAGCTTCTCTTCACTAATTTAGCTATTTAGACACAAACATCAGAGGCTCGTATTTTCTATTGCCATGATATCATGAATGAAAATTGTGAACAAAACTTCAAAATCGAACTGATGAAATTTATTTTCAGAATGTTCGAACAAAGTTCCGTTTTAAGCTAATAACTTCGCAAAAAAATCAATTAATTGTACATTTCATCGTCTTTTTAAGAACTAAAAAAAAGATAGCCATGAAAAAGAGATATCAATCTTTGTGAACAATTGATTTTATGTATGACAAATGTAAAGTCAGCCAATGCACATACAAGGTATTACATAGATAATTAAACCATCAACTATTAACTAAAAAGTACGTGTTGATAATCATTGGCATTGATCTTCTAGTAGTAACACGGCCATCATACCTATTTGTCGATTTCTTTTTGATTTCGATCACCTAATTGAAATTCTACTTGTATGTTCACATTCACACAAAAACAAAAAGTTCTTAGAGTACGTAAATAACTTTAAAAAAATATGACATTAAATCATCAAAATTTATCATTTCATTGGTATGATGGAAAAAGGCAGAAAGGAAAAATATCGAAAGGGAAAAATGTCGAAAATAAAAATATCGAAAACAAAAATAATACAAATGTAGATGGATAGAAATGCTGAAA